AAGGTAGCACCTTTATAAATATTGGGTTGTTGGAAAATTCATGACATGTTTTTCTATGCAAACATGCATCATAACATTTTTGATGACCCAATATAGAAATAAATTATATATAATTATATGGTTTAAAGTACCTGAGAGCAACTTAATTTTTTTATTTTTTTGCAGAGTGGGGATCGTACTGATGATTCAAACTGCTTTCAAGTGTCTAAGTGAAACCTAATAAGAAACTTCTGACTACATGTTGCAAGGTGATTTCTCAGCTATCATCTACCTTCTCAGTTGCCTTAGGATATTGTACCACTCAAATAGATTGTGGCGTGGGAAGTTGGGGTGTGCAGGCACAACACCAGTGCCAGATTCAGGACTGAGAAATAGATGACCAGGTTCTTTTCCCACATTCACAAAGAATAGGAGATGTGGATACAGGGGATAGCAAAGCAGAGTTTATTAAGAAAGGGAAGGAAGAACAGAGCTCTCAGTCCCAGGAATGGGTTGCCAAAGAGGATCTGGAGATGAAGATTTTTTTTTTTAATCTAGTAGTCTGAACAATGGGCCGGTTTTAGACAATAGTTACATGCTAGCCTGAATGATTTATTACCCTAGTCTTCTTGTGGTCAGCAGAGCACACCCTTCTGCATTTGTTGTTGGAATATAGATACTAAGTAGAAACTACTGCCCGTAGCTACAGTTGCTTTGACTCCCAGTGCAGCCAGCTTTTGTCTGTGAAAACTTAGCCACTGTGATTCCATCTTGGACCTTTATCCTGTCTATGTGCTCTATATCCCACCTTACTAGCAGGAGTCATACATTCTTTAGAAACATGTAAAAGGGGTGTACATTGTACATTAACCAGACTATGCAGGAAAAGCACAAAGGCTTCATTAAAAAGAAAAATGTAGTGAATTCCATTCAGCACCCCTATTCTACCTGTAAGTGGGATCTAACTCCTATCTCAGACTTCTGTGTTTTCTGAGCACTGATTTTTTTTCTTTTAATTACCAGAGGGTATATGCATTTTCCAGAGAGAGACAGAGACAGAGAGACAGAGGGAAAGGGAGAAAGCACCCTCCAATGGGGTGTGGTTACATCATGACCCTTTCTCCATTTAATGGAGAAGATTGAGGAAAACATTGCTATTGCATATAGGCAAATCTGTCAATTACTTGAGTAGGGATTGTCAATAACTTTGTGTTTTATGAATGCATACTTTCAGGTACCTACTTTTTCTATATTTATTTAGTTTTGGTATTGATGTTGTATGTGAAATGGACAGATCTGCGCATTTTTGTAATCTGCTAGAATATAACTTTTGCCTTTTCTTTATTGTGATAATCTTGTTTTGTGCTAGAATTATCTACCACTTTTCAGGAATGTATATAAATAATGATACTCATTTCCTACCTTCAGATTTTCTGTATAAAAAGACTTGAGGTGTTATATTAATCAGCTCGACACAAATACCACTAAGTCTTTTACTCTCACTATTAACAACCCTAATCATGCCTTTTCAAACTGCACCCAGGCTTCCCATCATGTCAGACTCTCACAAAACTCTTGCAGTACACACAAGAGAATAATGGACCAGAGATTAGAGAATATTAGACCAACCATGTGGGAAGGAATCTGAAACAATAGACCCCATGATTAGTGGCAGTGTTCAGAAACTAACAGGTGTGTTAAGGACAGAGAATATGACCCCCAAATAGCATGCTTTAGTTTACAATAACCAAGCTGTAATAGTAGAAAAGGTTTATAGATTTTTCAAAGTAACCACACCCGTTTTTCTTACTAGTATTCGTGAGTTCATAATATAAAGAATAAAGTATTTGGGGTAAGCCCCATAGCCTAGTGGTTAAGGAAGCTGGATCCCCACATGGCTGATTGTCTTCCAAATCTTAGCCTGGCCATTTGAAAACATGCTTAGCATATGTGCATATGTGACCAAAATACTGACAGGGGAGAAATGGAGGAGAAAAAATTGCAGTGTGACCATGTTCCATGAGCGGGAGATGCTTTCTCCTTCTCTCTCACTCTCCATCTCTCTCTTACTCTCTAGTAAGCACACATGACCTCTGGTAATTAAAAAAAAAAGAAAAAGAAAAAAGAAGAGGAGAAGAAAGAAGAGGAAGAAAAGGGAGAAGAAGGTATAATCAATTAGTTTTGTGCATTATTTATTTTAAATGAATCAATGTAAACTCTTGATAAGCAACTGTGACGTCCCCTCTCCTTGCCCTTCTCTCGTTATATAAACCATCTTTCACCATCATCATTTGGGTGAACACATGTACCCAGTGAGTTTTTCAAGATGCTCTGGAGTCAGTGTTTGAGCTGAGGTTGGCCATATGAAATCCAGCTTCTTCATCCACTAGGCTATGGGCCAGCCTCACAGTGATATTTTAAATATGGAGGTGAGGAGCCAGCAGGTGGTGTAGGGGTTATGTCACTGGACTCCCACATGGCCTACTGCAGTTCAAGTCTCAGACCCAGATGTATGTGCATGCATGCCCATAATCCCAAAATGCGAATGGAGGAGAAGGGATAGTGGCATGACTATCCCCCTGGTGAGTGATTTCTCCCTTTTTGTCTTTTTGTCTCTCCAGTGAGCACACATGCCCGAAAGCAAAAATCTCTCTCTCAAAAACAAATAAGCAACAAAATATGGAGGTGATTCCAATAAACTTAGCCTCATGCTTGATTGCTAACAACTGTGATAAGGTCCCTAGATACAGTAGTTGGAATATTTAGCCAGATGAGGAGGTAGGATAGGAAATTAGAAAGAGAAAAAGCTGCTTTAGGCTTTCAGCTAATTGTTTTCACAAATAAAGGGATAAGCAAAACTATTTTACATGCATATAGAAGAAAAGAGTAGAATTACAGTTACCAAGAGGAAATACAGAATTTGTATCAAGGTTATTCCTTCTTTATACTCTTCTCAAACCTAGACTACAATGGTTATCTATATCAAATACTCTTCTCAAACCTAGACTACAATGGTTATTAATATCAAAAGCACACACACACACACACACACACACACACACACACACAGAGGTTAAATCAAGAATGGCAGACTATAGAAAGTAAAATAGTATAGTAAATTTGTCAATAGATTTGATCCAAGTTAAAACCTTACTCCAAGGCACATAAGTCATTGATTATTTCAGGACCTGGTAAGTCTATTCTCAAAACCTGCAATCAGAGGTATAATGAATCTCAGCATATGGTAACAAATGATTAAGCAATAATGTCTGTGGTTACGACCTTCCCCACCACTAGGTTTTGATTTTATTATCATTCCCTTTAAAATCTTGTACTATCTCAATTTCTTCCAATAATGTTTACTTAAGAAATAAAACTCATTAAACCCTAAAGAACTCATAAAAATTTATGTCTTTCTTCACTCTGAAATGCTAACTAAATTTTAAGTAAAGCAATAAAGTAAAACTAAGCTTTTTTTTTTTTTAATTTCAAGTATCTTGTTTGGGAGTTAACAGACTTTGAGTTTAGTTTGTTTGTTTGTTTGATTTTTTTTTTTCCCTCAAGAATCCACTAATCAGAAATTTCTTTAAGAAAACATGCCTGCTATAATTTAAACTGAAATCATCATTAAATAATTATGAAAAGTCTCAGGCTTGGGAATGTTTAGTTTTTTTTAAATTATTTTTCTTTTGCTTCTTAAAACATTCACATAGGACTTAGTTATAAGATGGTAGAATTAGAAAAGATTTTTTTTTTAAAAATCACTCTCCATGTTTTTACTAGAGTTGGGATTGGATTTTTGTGTATAAACCACTGATAAGAACTGGGTGGTTGAACTGCGTGTCCCCAAAATGGTGAAGTCCTTATCACTTGCACTCATTTGTCACCATCACCTTAGCTGGAAATAAGGTCTTTGCACATGACCAAGTTAAAATGACATTAGGGTGTGTCTTATTCAGTATGTGCTTATAAGAATAGGAAATTTGGACCCAGTGACAGACATGCAGAAAAATGATGGAAGATACAGGAAGGATACCATCCATAAATCAGGTAACTCCTGAGGCTGCCAGAAACTAGGAGAGGGACATGAGCAGATTCACTCTGACAGTTTTCAGAGGAAACCAATCTTGTTGCATTTCATTTTGGACTTCTAGTCTCTAAACCTCTAAGATAATAACTGTACTTTCAGGCCACCCAATTTGTGGCACTTTGTTAAGAAAGCCCTGGGAAACATAAAAGTCCAGGACAACTTGTGTATGGTAAGGTGGTCTGTCTGTCACCTTTTACACATTTTTTAAAGGTATTTTGTTGCTGTTTTTTGTATTTACTTATTGATTCATAAATGAGAGTCAGAAAAGCATCCCCAACAATGTCTTCACACTGTGATCCTCCCTCAGTCTTAGCTAGCCTTGATCATGGGCACACATGTGTGTGACATGTAGAGAGAGGTTCCAGGCCATGTTTCTAGGTTTTTCTTAGGTAGGTCCAATTGCATTATTGGTACATATGCTTAAAATTGCAGATTAGACAGCCACTGTGGAAACAGTGTGGAGGTTTCTCAAAAAATCCAAAAATAGAACTACTAGATGACTCAATAATCTCACTTTTGGCAAAATAATCAAAGGACAGAAAATCACTCTATTGGAGAGACATTTGCACATCTATGTTTTTTGCAGCTTTATTCACAATAACTAAGACATGGACTCTACCTGAATACCTATCAGTAAATGGCCTAAAAAATGTGTCATATGGGGCCAGCAGGTGGCGTAGTGGTTAAGGTGCTGGACTCCCACATGGCCAACAGTGGTTTGAGTTCCAGACTTGGTGACTTGAGAATCACACTGGGTGTGTGTGCATACATTTCCAAAACAGAGGAGAAGGGATTGTGGCTTGGCCATCCTCCTGCCCCCTCAGGGCAGGGAGGGAGGGTGGGGTGTGATTTCTCACTTTCTCTCTCACTGTTTTTCTCTGTCTCTCTCCACTCAGGCAAGTGCAGGCGCCCTGTGACAAAAACCTGAAAAAATAATGTGGCACACAATGGAATAATAATGCCATAAAAATCAATGATCTCCTGTTATTTGACTCAAAATGGAAAAATCTGGAAGAAAAAATGGTAAATGAATAAGCCAGTCTATTAAAGGTAAATACTATATGTCCCTGTGTAACATATACCTTAGGACCTTACTTTTTAGCAGAGGGTAAGGGCTTAATAGCATGAAAGACAGTAATCATAGATATTAGAGCTGTATGGAGGAGGGATTTGGGAGAATCTAAATAACAGCACAGAAGACATGTGAGCAAGGAGAATAGGTTATGAAATAGTGACCACAGCAGAGTTAAAATGTCATTGACAATTCAGTACATGCTTCTGAAAACAAAAACAATAGAACAAACACGCACAACATAATATAATGTCAAATGTTGAAGATGATGAATATGTTTATGTCCTTCATTTGATTATTTCACGTTGTCCTCTTAAAAACTAGGGGCCAGCCAAGGTGGTGTGGGAGTTAAGGTCACTGCATCCCACATGATCAACTGTGCTGTCCCAGTTATAGATGTGAAGGCTTGAAAAACACATTAGGTGTGCGTGTGTGCTTGTGTGCACCAAAATCTTGAGAGAATGGAGGAGAAGGGGTTGTGACATGGCCAGGCAGTGCTTTCTCACTTTCTCTCTTTCTCTGTCCCTGCTGATTACACGTGCCCTATAGCTAATTAAAATAAATAAATGAAATAAAACTGTACTATGTCCCACAAAGATATGTAATGAGTATATGTAAACCAGAAATTACAGACAAAAGCTAACAAACAAACAAAAATCCTGTCAGTGCCTTACTTCCTCTGCCCCAGAGGTTCTCCTTGGTTGAGAATATCAGTGAAATTCTGCCCATCGCATTTGTAGCTGGTAGAAACTTGATTACTGGTACTCAGAAGAAGCTTACTGTGTAATATCTGGATTCCTCACACACCTTTACTCTACTCTTTCTCTTTCCCTTTCTTTCCTTCATTCTTTTCTATTTATACACACAAAATATTGGCATAAAACATGACCTAGGTTTTGGGACCAGCAGATGGCATAATGAATACGTCACTGGACTCCCATGTAGTTGACGCGGTACAATTCCCGGACTCAGTGGCTTAAACTCAAGCTGGCTCGTGTGTGTGAATGCCCAAGATCCCAAGAGGAGAATGAAGAAGAAGGGATTGTGGCATGGCCATTCACCATAGGGAATGATTTTTCGCTTTCTGTCTCTCTGTCTCTCTCTCTTTCTGATGAGCACATGCACCCTATAGCAAAAACCTGTTTTATAAAAATGACCTAGGTTTTATTGGAAGAAGATGGTACTCTTACCTATGGTACTTACTCATATGGTATTGACAACTCAATCTATTCTAGAAAGAAACCTAAATAACAGGGAATCCAGCTTGCCTCAACAGATGTGTTCCCTCTGTTCAATGAAGGTAGACATAATAAATAGAAAGCTGAATGTGGTCTTCAGTTAAAAATGCTCAAGCTAAAAAAACCATCAGGTGTCCCTAAGTTAATTTAAAAATATACACACACACACACACACACACACAACAAAGCAGTAATAACACCAAAGGAAACTAAAAAGAGCCTTGTAACAAGTTACCACAAAGTTAATGATTTAAAATGACACACACTGATTATCACATAGCCTATAGAGCAGAAGTTCAGTCATAACTAGGGCTTTAGGCATCATAGGTTGAGATCAATGTGATGACTGGGCAATGTTGTCATCTGAAGCTTGGGGGCCTCACTCAGTCTCCAAATTATTGGTAGAACTTAGTACCTTGTATAATAATTGTGAGACTAATGTTTCCATTTTCTTGCTGCTATGGACTGTTGACTGCTCTCAGTAAATAAAGATTGCTTCATTTCCTGGCATGTGACTCTCTCTACCTTGAAAACAAGTCTTTTTCTGTTCTGAATTCTCTTCAAGAAGTTCTCAATCCCTTTAGAGCCTTATCTGAGTAGATCAGGTCCGCCTAGGTTAATCTCTTCCTTAAAGTCAACTGTACCATAGAATATACCCTAATTAGGAGAATGAAATTTCATCATAATCTCAGATTCCTCCCACATGAAGGACTAGAGAATCAGACAGGGATGTAAGTCATTAGAATTATGGCCTACCACAAAGCACCAGGTTATTATAATAAATAAAGTACAGTTTAAGATTACAGAAATACAGCCACACATACAATGGAATACTGTGTAGCTACAGAAAAAAAATACAAAGGCATTTCCTATGTACTGATAAAGAAAGACACAGTATTAAATGAGAAAAAAAATGTCAGGAGCAAAACAGCATATAGGTTGTTTATGTAACACTTGGAGAAAATAAAAGTTTAAGATTATTTTTATTTGCACGTATTTCTCTAAAGGAACACCAAAAGGATATCTAAGAAAGAGAGCTGACTGTAAGGCATGGTGGGGGGAGTGTAGGGGAAAATGGGTGGATGAAGATGGGTAGGAGTAAGAGCTCTCAATGTAAGCTGTTTTAATTTTTTTGTTATGGAACAATTCAAATTGTTATTGAACAATAATATTTATTAAAATTATAATTAAAGAAATATTAAATATAGTAAACACTTATATCTGACATGCACAATTCCCTGCAGACAAGGAAGTAAAGCAACAATTCGAGCACAGCTCCTGTTCTAAAGTAGCAAACCAGGTCATAGTGGTCTGAAGTGAAATCCAAAATTGACTACAATTCAAATAGGAGAAATGTCATAACAAAGATAAGCAAACCATTTCGTGATTTTTAAAGAAGAAAGCCATCCTACAAAATGAGTATATAACCTAGTTCTTCACTCGAATATATCCTCCTGCCTAGCATAGCTGCCTGCCAGAAAGGGCAGTGGGGATCATTGTCTATTGATCCATGTAATTCAAACTTTCTCATTTAAAGAACTGGGAGAAGCATTACATCCTTCAAATTTCATTAGACATCATTGGATCATTGATTTCCACATATTGATTAGAAGGCAATATATAGTTTGCATACTTTAAAAAATAACTTCTTGTAAACCATTAGTCTATGCTACGTCAGGAAACTGAATGTTTTCTTCGTTTTTGTTTGGCTTACTGCACAAAGGTTTGCTGGTAAAATGTAAATAAGACATGCCTATCAGATAATTAGATGATCCAAACTCTCAACTCTTCTACTTTCTTAGTTTTTGACTGTGATTATTGTAACTTGAATTGCTTCTTTAATCATTTTTTAATTTTTTTTGAGAGGTTTTTGGTATAGGGTGCGTGCACTCGCCAGAAAGACATAGAGAGACAGAGATAGAAAGTGAGAAATCACCTCCAAGGGGGGATGGCTATGCGGTAATCCCTTCTCCTCTATTCTCCTCTCGGGGTCTTGGGCATGCACACACACGCACTCGTGGTGAGTTTAAACCACTGGGTCCGGGACTCCAACCGCGGTCTACTACATGGATGTTCAGCGACATAGCCATTATGCTAACTGCTGGTCCCGCTTCTTTAGTTATTTTAAAGTGCCTGTATTCATTCCTAGTTTGAGAAAGAGCAACGTAAGTCCACTGAATTTTTCTGTGACTTCCTTTCACTTTCACATTTCATTCAACATTCTACTCAACTCCAAAGTGAGGGCTTCTCTAAAATAATCCCTTCCCTATATTGCAGCACCCTATTCCCTTACTCTGCTTTTCTTATCCCTCTATAGAACATAACTTTGAAACTAGTACATGTATGTGCAGACCTGTTTACCATGTATCTCCTTCATCACAATGTACACTCATGAACAGAGCAGAGACATTTCTGTTTGCAGTTGTTTCTGCTGTTCTGACTAGAACAGTGGTTTAATCATTTTATACATACACACACACACACAGACACACCTATATGAGAGAGAGAATATGACTAAATGGTCAATTTATTGAAAAATAAATTCTATTCACTGCGCACAATGAACTATTTTAATTCTTGCTCCCCCTTCCCTTAAGGACATATCTCACAAGTGTTAAAAGAACAAAATCACAGTATGCCCTCTGTCTTGCTCAAAGCTGCCCACTTCTGGAAGTTGCTTGAGGGAAAGTCACCTGACCACTGCCTAACAAATATCCAAATGGAGCTAAGGTACCAGTTTCTTTTTCTTGCAATGTGAGGTAATAAGAAATAAATATGTGATTTGCTTTAAAAAATTAAATTTAAATTATTCTCTTTTTTAGATAGAGTCTGGCTGTTGTCATTCTCTTGCCGTAGCCTTGGTTCTTTTGTAGACAGGGTCTCATTATTCTGCTTAGGTGAGCCTTGAGCCCATGACACTCCTGCCTCAAGCCTACTGATTCACTGGGATCGTAGGTGCATAACTGCATACCAACCTTAAATTGGACCAGGAATCAAACCCTGGCCTCCTATGTGGTTCCAGTTGGTGGAGCACAGTGTGTTAGTGCAGTGCACCAACATGGTTGAGCCTAAATATTTGACCTTTGTCCCCAATCTCTGGCACAAAGATCCTAAAATGCTTATAATTTACTGTTTTGTATGTGCTAATGAAGGGTTCCTAAATAACTTCAAAATAGGGGCTGGTCTCCAGTAGAAACAGCCATGCCATGAGACAGAATTTTCATCCCTACTCCCACACATTCACCTTCTGGCATGAAAGAGGGGTAGGAATTGAGTTCAGTCACAAATGACCAATGATTCAATTAATCATACCTCAGTGAGGACATTATTTATTATTACTAAGGAGTTGAGAACCTTCTGGGTTGGTGACCACATTAATGTGCTCGGAGGGTGGCATGTCCAGAGAGAAAAAGGAAGCTTTGCACCCCTTCTTCCTATACTTTACCCTATGAATCTAATCTCTTCTATTGGTTGTCTTGACTTATCCTTTAGAATAACTAATGATCATAAGTAAAGTGCTTTCTTGAGTTCTATGGTGTTTAAGTGAATTAGCATTCCTGAGGAGTAGTTTGTGGGAACTCCCAAATTTAAGTCAATGAAGGTAGAAGTGTAAGTAGCCTGAGAATCTCATTTTTGGCTAGCTTCTAAAGATAGGGGAAGTTTTGTAGAACTGAACTCTTAACCTGCGGGTACTGGGTTAACTCTGAGTAGTTGGTTTCAGAATTGAATTGAGTTGTGGTACAATCAACTGGTGTCACACTGGAGAATTTGTTGATGTTAGAAGATAGGGCATTTGATATAAACACAGACCAGTGATTGCCAAATACTTGTCAATGACATTACACTGACCCATGAATAAGTTTTCATACATCAGTAAAACAAACACAAAATAATATTTTGAGTTTCAAAAATCTGAATTTTAAAAATTCAGTTTAATTAGATAAAATGCTCTTTGAAGTTGTATTCTTCCTTCTCTTTACTCATTATTTCAAAGTATAAAATAATGGTGATAGGGAGCAGCAGATGGTGTAATGGTTATGTCACTGGACTCCCATGTAGTCAACCAAGGTTCGAGTCCTGGACTTGGCAACTTGAAGCTCACACCAGGTGGGTGTGTATATGTGCCCAAAATCTGAAGAGGAGGAGGGAGGAGAAAAGATTGCAGTGTGGACATCCCCCCTGGGGAGGGGTGATTTCTCGCTTTATGTCTCTCTGGCAAGTGCATGCACCTTATAGCAAAAATCTCTCTCAAAAAAATTACTGTTGGTATGCAAACATGCCTAAATAATCAATAATAGAAGTGATCAGAACTGAACACTCTCGGGAACCAGCAGTTAGCGTAATGGCTATGTCGCTGGACTCCCACGTAGTCGACCGTGGTTCACGTCCTGGACTCGGTGGCTTAAAACTCACGCTGGGCGCGTGTGCGTGCGTGCCCAAGATCCTGAGAAGAGAACAGAGGAGAAGGGATTGAGGCGTGGCCATCCCCCCGGGGGAGTGATTTCTCACTTTCTGTCTCTATGTCTCTTTCTGTTTATCTGGAGAGCGCACGCGCCCTATAGCGAAAACCTCTCCAAAAAAAAAAAAGAAAAAAAAAGTGAACACTCTCTTATTCTCAGTGTCAGGTTATTGTGTCTTCTTCATACTCTTTCCTTTCCTTCTATTGACATGCATGAACTGGCCCAGCTTCAATCACAGGCCACCCCTTCCACATGAACCCTGGATCCTGTTGCCTTTGGGCTTTTTACCTTTTTTCTCCTATGTTTCCAACACCAGTATCTAACTGGATCATTATCATTGGTATCCAAACATGTCTAAATATCAGAAATCCCAAAATAACCATTCCTTGAGATCATGCCCACTTCAGTTATCTCATTTTGCTTCTCATTATGCTGCTCTTTTTTTTTTATATATATAGCAACATGTCTTGAAAGTCTTACCCACTTCCTAATTCCTTCACTTTTCATCATTAACTCACTGTACTCAAACTTCCATGGCTACAACTCAGCTGCGACTGTTAATAGCATGATCTGAGCAACTATTTTGCCAAAGTCAGTAGTCCATTTTTCCCTTCCTCATTTTATTATATTTGAAAAATATTTGACAAAATGGATGATTCCCTCCTTCTTGAAACTTCTGGCTTCCATGGTATTAATTTTTTTGGCTTTCATTTCTCCTTACTAGTTGGTTCTGCCTCTCCTGTGCTATCTTTCATGTCATTGCTCAACCTCTAAATATTAGTGTTCAGTGGCTCTTGTTTCTGGGAACTATATAGATACATAGATGTTTATCTATAGGTATAGACAGATATAGATATCTTTTAAAATATCTAGTCTTATCTTAGATAATTCCATCTTGTTTTATGCCTTTAAATTCAATCTCCTTGCTAGTGAATCCTAAACCTATAATTTTCATCTTAATTTTTTCACTGAACTTGAGGCTCTTGGACCCAAATCTCTGTGACTTATCCATTTGAATAAATATCTTAATTGTAAGTGTTGAAAGCAGTTCTTGATCTTTCATCTCAATGTATGTGTTCTCCTGTCTTTCTCATCTATGTGAATGCCATTACCATGTAATAGCTTGACCCCAAAACATAGAAGTCAATCTTTCTCTCTTT